AGACAAATGTATTGAAATATATAATGAATGTAAGAGACAAATGTATTGAAATAAATGTAATAGACAAATGTATTTAAATATATAATTAATGTAAGAGACAAATGTATTCAAATATATAATAAATGGAAGAGGGAGAAGTAATGATCAAAAGGCATTATAATTATAATTAAGAAAAAGAAAATTTTACAATTAAACGGAGGAGAAAACTTGAATTTGCACAGAAAAATCAAAGATTTAGATGATGAGCATGAAAATTTAAAAGATTGGACGATTGCTAATTTTTTTTTTAATCACTTACCCTCCAAATAAATGTTTTCACAGACAGTACTAAGGAGAAGTAAATTCTCCATTGAACCCCCCTCCTCGAATACTGAACGAACACTGATGCATCTATTATTGTTTACAAATTCCCCCAAAGAGAACTGGTTTCAATATGTACACAGAGTATACACAACCGCAATTGACTTTCCTTGCCTTACATTCTTGATCAGAATATAAACTCCGTACACTGTACACTGTACAGTTGTCTCTGAAATCTGAAGTCTCAGTCTTTGTGGCTTTCTAGTTTTTTTAATTAAAAATATTTAAGTTCGTATTTTCATTAATACAAAATGTCGTCGTAAGTGAAAATATAAAATGTTAATTTATAGTTCCCTCCCTCCCATTGTTTCCACAGAAAAAAGCGCAAGTTCAAAAACATAAACATGAATATTTCATTCATTTCATTATCAGATAATGGTTTCAGGGGTTCTGTTGTGAATCGGACATGTACTCTTTGAATAAAACGTCACTTGAAATAAGGACTAAAGCTGACAGACAAGCTCCTTTGTTCAGAAAAATTTTAATCGTTCAAAGATTTCAGAAATCAAATTCATAAAATCCAACCGCCAGGGTCATAGTTACCTCCGCCGGGCAATAATATTTTACCTGGTTTATCTCCCTTGGACATTCCAAACTTAGGCCAAGATTTCCTAGCTGCAATTACCTGAATTGAATCAATTCAGATATGAAATGGCTTTTGATTTCTATTGAGACATGAACAAATCCACGCAGGATGTTTTCAGCAGCCAAGACAAAATGCCAACAGAAAAAAAGGGGGGCGGGGGGAATTCGACACTTTGTCACACCAAATTTTGTACTGCTTCGTTTGGTCCTAAATATTTAGATAGAAAGCTAAAATTTTGCATGCAGCGTCTAATTTAAGTCATCTACATGGATCACGAAGAAAAGGGGATGGTGGAGTTGGCATGGTTGTTGTAGGGGGGGGGGGGCCTGCCTTCATTTTTGGTTCAAATTATCCACCCAGGGAATACAGTAGCAGTAACAAGTTCAATGTTTGACCTTCTAATGACCTCTTACGACCTCTTATGACCTAAATGACCTCCAAAAATGATAAGGTTTTAACTATGGCTTTATGCATATCAAACGAAAGCTAGGAACCCCAGGAATACTGTTGCAGCAACGAATCCAGTGTTTGAGGTGTTCATATTTTTGGCTACCCCATAATCAAGTGCTGATATTGACACATATATCTGACCTCCAGTTTGGCCTCCCTTCTATAACGACCTCAAAAAAGGTCAAAATATTAAATCAAATGGGTTATGTGAGAGTCCAAACGGCTGGACCGATTGGGCTAAATTTTTTTGTGGACACTCATGGGTCGTGTTTAAGACTAAAAAAATCGAAATTGAAAATAATTCCACGGGCAACGCTGGGCCCTTCAGCTAGTAACAAATATTTCAGTCTATAGGTCCATCCATCTACGTGCAATCACAATTTTAATAACAAACGAATTATAAGTCTATCATAATTATCACAAGTTGTAAAAAATAAAGATGCATTTTTTGGCGGGGGAGGGGGGGGGGATTAGGTGTAATAAAAAATCCTAAAAATTTAAATAATGCGGGAAATTAATTTTAAAAACATAGAATCTACATTTTTGGTTTTACAATCAATCCCAACAATCAGTGAAATAATGGGTCAGCGCTTCCATAAACTTGCTACTTGTCATTCGCTGGAATATTCTTTCGTCATTTATCTTTTCTGAAAATGAGGTTTGAGCATACAGCAGGTCTTGTCCCACAGCTTTTTTTGGTTACTCCTTCATCAAATCATTTAAAATAATCTTTTAAAACTTAAATCCTTTCCTGCTCAAGTATGAATGTTATGGTTTTTCTTGAAAAAGAATTTTTTTTAATTGTGTTTTATGTTTTGTCGTGACTAATATAATAACTTGTTTAGTAATAAAAATGACGATATTTTGCACATTATTGATCAGATAAAAGTTTCATGGGTAAATGGGAAAACTATTTTAAGAAAAACTGATGAAAACTGAAAAATGAGTGTATAGAAAGATTGCAAAGATCGATGAATGCAGTAATAAATAGTTCATTGAAAAATAATAATTGAATAAAAATAAGAAAAAAATTTGAAAGAATAAGAAAGAGAGTAAATAATTTCAGAAAGAACGAAAAATAAAAGGTATTTAAAAAATCCAGAAAAAAGAAGTAACAAAACACTGACTGATAAATTTAAGAAAACTTAAATGTGAATGAAGGGATATTTTTGGCTCTTTTTTTCCCGAATGGCTCTATTTGATGATAAAAAGAATTTGACAACACTTTATTAAGCAGAAACTAGAACAGATTAGAATTTTGTGTGTGATTAGCTTATCTAGATTTAAATGTTTTTAATATTGATGTAGTTTTTTTATCACACGAATGTCAGTTTTATAAATGTTTGCACGAAGAGAAATAGGAATAAATTGTAAATTCCTGTAACCACGTTCATTTATCAAAATCATTAAGAAGTGAAAGGATTAACAAATGAATAAATGAATGAGATTCCTAGCAGCCGTGAATGAACTAATGTTTACAAGTTGATTATTCTTCAAATATTTACCAGCTCGTGAAACCTAAACAAAATGTAAATATAAATATATAAATTGAGTAAGAGAGGTTGATTTTAAAAGCATTTTTGAAATGTTAATTGCTTCAACCGGATTGGTAATGAGCATTAAATTTGACCAACTTTGAGAAAAAGTTTTTCTGCAAAACCAATTTTAGAATGACGAATTTGAATTTTAAGAAAACAAACTAAAAATCTTTAGAACAAGCTTAAATGTATAACAAAGGATCCGCCTAAGGCCACATATTAGACAAATTTTCAAAAAATGTCGATTAAAAATTTGTCGAGTTAAGGCCTAAAACGGGTTATTTTTTAAATCTGTGTCCAAATGTCCTCCTATAACCGTTTTTTCACTTTTTTGTTTATGAACAAATTTGTACGATTACAACGTTCTTAAATTCTGTGTTCCAAGACAGATCTTTTAATACCCATGAAGTCATATTTCGCCCAAATATTTTTTCGTTTGCATTAGTTACGGTTATTTAATTTAATCGTCATAAAAACCGGTTTTCGTTCATGAAGTATTGACTTGAGAGAAAAACGTATTTTCTTAAAGTCTAGTCTGGGTGAAGCAAATGGAACTTATTTCTTAAAGGGATAGGTTTCTACAGCTGTAAACTTGATTAATTCTTGGCCAAATAATTCAGTTATTCTATAAGCCTTTTTCTCGTAACGTAATATTTTACAATTCACAACAGTACCTTTTAAACCTTTGTCTGAGCAAACAGCTTAACATTAAATATTTCTAATTAAAGGTTATTTATAATATTGACTTGTAGATTTATGCTGCAAAGAGTAAAAAGAAGTTGACAGAATTTGGCAAGCTTTATCTCTATAATTGTTACTCAGATGAAGGTTTAAAGGGCAGTGTTGTTATGGTAAGAAGTCTATTCTTGAATACAAAAATTATATGGATTTTGTTTTATTTTTTTTTCCACAACAGCTTGTGAAAATAAAACCCGGAAAATATCCTACTTTATAAAGAATTGGATCTAAAGCAGCGTAAACCAGAGAACTTGCACCTTCATTACTACTCTTCATCAGATACCTGAACTCATGCTTAACATTATCTAGTTGTGTGCTTTCAGTTTAACAGTTTTGCCTCATGTTTCCATAGATTTTCTTTCTGGGTCAAAATTTGGCTAACTAGTCTAATCAGAGAAAATGTTTAATAAATTTTATATTTTAAATTTACGCTTTCTCATGAATTATGTCATGCAAAAAAAACGACCAAATGTCGAACGCGGTGTAACGCTTGTTTTCAGATCCTTTTTCCATTTTTAAATTTTTTTTGGGATAAAGATATTGTAAAGTTCAATAGTATTTTGAAAATCTTTTTGAAACAATTAACACCACTACATTTATCAATGTTGAGGTAAAAGAGATTTTCGAAAATTCGGCATAGTTTTACGCCAAATGGATGCATCAGACGACAAAAATGTTGTTTTAATGACCCCTTCTAAAATCTACAACTACATATTCAGGGCACTCTAAACTCAAAAGTAAGATATTATGATTACTATAAGCTCGCCTGGTTATTAAAGATTAAAATTGGAAAGTTTAAACAAAAGTCCGATTTTATGATAACTGTAAGCTCGCCTGCTTATTAAAGACACCCAACTAGATTCACTGTAGACCAAGGGATGTTAAAATTTTAATTCAACTATTTTTATCTTCCAAAAATCGCCGACATTTCCATTTAAAATTTTAGAACATGATTACTAATTTTCCCTCCTAGTTAAATTGTCACCCCCTCCTGGTTAATAAATGTCCCTCTGGTTTCCTGGTTGCCATATCTGTATAAACTACACCAGGATGTAAGGAAACACTGGGAACACTAAACTTAGTCTCTAACAACAAGAAAACATATTTAAAAGAGACAATATCACACAGTGGCTTAAAGCTTTGACCAATCACACAGTGGTTTAAAGCGTGGACTAAGACAAATGCAGATTTTTATTACATTTTTGTACCAGAGATGACACAAAGCAGAACATTTTTTGCTAAGAAAAAAATTTACGTAGAAACCATGACAAAAATTATCAAAAAATCGCAATTTTTTGTCAAAGAACACTTTTTACCCAAAAATAAAATTTATTTTCCCCTAAAACCCATTTATTTTTCAATAAAACGGTTAAAGCTTTACAAATCATTGCGCTACGACCCGGCCCCTAAAAGATTATCAACTAAGAATGATAAATATTGAATTTGATGCTATGCCTAATATCTGTGAAAACATAACCATGGCAGCCTTCGAGTTCCCATACGCCTGAAGATTAATTCTGATAATATTTTGTTTGGTGAACAGTTTAATATTAATTCAGGGTAATTAGTGTTTAGGATTTATATCTTTTTGACGCCGATCCGGATCCGCCTTGTAAAAAGATGGATCCGGATCCAGGTCATGAAAATTCCTCTAAATTTACTGACTTTTTAAACAGATGAAAAATGCTAAAAAAATGTTCTGTAATTTTTTTGCTTATTTAATGCGGAAACCAGTATGTAAGATCCTGATCCGCTGGATCCGCAAAAATATGCAGGATCCAAGAGGCAAATGTCAACCAAAAACTGTATACAAAAAATCGTTTGCTCTAAAACCCAAATCTGATCTGTTAAAAAAAAGAGATGATTAAAAATTTACTTCTCTCTACATTGTTCATCGATTTTAAGCATAAAGACAAATCGAATCCATTTTTTCCTGTGCGGATCCAGGACCCGCATTAATTAAATGGATCCTAAGCACTGGCTGAAACTAAATAAACCATTTTTTAAGCAGGTGTTGGTTGGTATTTAGCCCCTGGGATCCGGATCTGAATCCAGAAAGCCAAAGTGTTGCGGATCCAATAGATCCGGATCCTATGCATTCTAAGTAGTAAACATTGCCTAAACAAAATTTAAAGAAATGATTCTAATTTTTTTTCTTGAAAAGTTTGTACCTCACATATTACCAAAATATAAAGACATTAAACAATCCATTTAACTAAAATGCTGACCTGTTCCATTGAATATGAATTTTTCATGTTCAGGTCTTCAAAATCTAGCCAGGATCCAACTATTTAAACATTGAATTAAAAACAAACATTAAAGAGGTATTGTACACAGTGTTCCTTGAGAACAAAATTTTTTAACTTGTTATTGCGGAGCAAATTCAACTTGTTCCTAGTTCTCATGTATGAGGATTATTTGGAAACAAGTTTCAGTCAAATCTTGAATGTACAGCAGTACAAGTGGGCCGCCCGAGCCGCTGAAGTTGAGGATGAGTCAGTCACGGGTCTTGAAAGAACAATCACGAAAATGGTAATACATGCAGAAAGGTCTGGGAAAAGAAATTAATGGAATAATTTAATAGAAAAAAGTTTCTAAGCACTTAAAAGGTGTCTCCAGCTATACAGGGTGTGTCTTTAAAAACCTCAATATCTCACCAGGACGGAGTGATATGATTTGACAGAAACATGTTTCCAATCACCCTCATGCGTGAGAACCAAGAACAATTTGAATTTGCTCCGCAATACTAAACTTTTGCTCTTTTGGAACACTGGTGTATTAACTAGCAAATCATTGATAAAACCCTTTTTTCAGTGCTTAGGTCCATTTATTTCATTTTGAACCAGGGCCTGAGCAGAACATTTCTTTGAATTATCAAATAAATTTCGTTATTTTTCGCTAATTTATAAACTATTTAGACTTCAGATAAATGGGAATGTTTAACAAGTTAGCTCTCTTTTTTTTTCAACAGTTCAGATTTGGATTTTTAGAGCAAAAAGTATTTTTTCAGTTTGTGGTTGCTATTTCGCCTCTTGTATTCGGATCCGTGGATCCAAATATTTTTGTTGATGTGGATCCGGGAAGTAAAAATATTTCTGATCCAACGGATCCAGATCTTCAGCAATGCCCTTTTCATTGTTTTTTTTTTACCTTGAACTCCTTATTTCTAAATCAATTAGCTCGACGAAGAACTATAAAATACATAAAATACTGCAGAAAATTCATTTATACTTTTTGAAGAAACAGATTCTTCTATTGAGTTGATTACCCAAGGGTGTATATTTTTAAGAATCGCCGCCCCAGCCCTCCCACCCGATCTAGGGGAAAAATGAAAAATTGGACATAAAAGCAAATGAAACATCCTTTTTTAAGCTTTTCCACATTAACTCATTTATTTCCGCCAATTCAGACAACAAAACTCTTAAAATGTTGCCGCTCAGCGCAACATACCCAACTTCTGAGGGGGGAGAATAAATTTCAAAAAGGGGGAAAAAATAATTTAATAAAATACACACTCTTGTGTTTACCTCTATGTTGACATGAGGAAACATTAATGACTCTAGTCTGCTGACATCCTTTTTTCCCCTTCCTCAAGTTTAACAGCAGGTAGGTCAACAGGACATGACCTTGAGATTAAATTAACTATTGAAAGGAGCGACTGGTAATGTATGGTAGTTGTACTGAGATTGCAGTATTATTGAGAATGTTTTATGATTTATTTGAGACCTAAGAGACGTTTTTACGGTGCATATTTGTTCAGCAAGAGCGCAAATGCAATCTTTAAAATTCTCTTAGATTGCCCGTTTTGGAGGGATGATTTTGAGAATCGGTAAATGTAACAAAAAATTCTACAGTAAACTAATTAGTTGTTTAGGAATAGGTTGAGAAGATAAAAATTACATCTTGTCATCGAAAATAAGTAATCTAATTCAGTAATTGTTTTCTGTAATGTCTCAATGTTCAAAACCATTTTCTCCTTGGATTTTTTTTATGAAAAGAATACATTAGAAGATTTTAAAGAAATCTGCGAACAAATTCATTAAGAATAGGAAAATCAATATAATGTTGAAAAGGAAACAATTGATTTAAACATTGATTTATTGACAAATTCTAATGAGAAATATGTTACTAAACATCAAATTAGTTTACCGTAGAAATTTTGTTACATTTTTCTTCGTCCTTTTGGAATAATTTTTATAAAACCGTTTCTCAAAATAAGTCTCAAATTAATCCTTAAAAAATGCTCAATAATAATACATTCGCACTTCAACTACCATACATTACCGGTCACTCCCTTTAACGCAAATTTAATGTAACCTGAAATTGTAGTGTGGCATATAAATTGTTTCGATGCACTTTTTAAAAAATTATCTCAGCAGAAATGATGAAGATATGTGTTTTATTTATTTTTAAATGCAGTTTTCTCTATAATTAACTTGCAGATTTCGGTAGTTGATTTAATACCACTGACAATAAGTCGCATGCCTTCCACATTTTCTTCTACTGATTGGAAACGTCTATCTCAAAACTTAATTTATCATTTTTATCGTTATGGGCCTTGAACATTTTAAAGGAAAGTTAATTGCGAAAAGCAAACTTAAAGTTTGCTCAAATTTTTATTAATTAAAAAATTAACCATCTAAATTCCTAAATCCGGATCCGCATTCTGAAAACGGTCTAGGGGAGCTGGAACATGCGGATTAAAGGGACTGTAAGTGTGATTTCAAGTGCATCTCCATGCACAGATTACATTTCCCTATTCACAACGGTACCATTAAAAGCTTTGTCTGATCAAGTATGAATTTAATTTTATTGTTTAGAATTTTGAAAACGGATTATTTTCAATTGTTAATTCTTTATAAAAGTAACTTGTACATTTCTTCTGTAGGAAAACATAAATGAAATACCAGAGTCCAGAAGTAAACACTTCAGGAAATAAAATCTTCTACACTATTGATCCGATAAAAGTTTCAAGGGAACCTGTGTCAATCGGGCGTTGACATTTTTTTCATGGAGAGTTGAACTTAAAATTAAGTGTACAATCCCTTATGCGAGCTCCTACCTAAATAGTTTGTTCCAAAATGAGCCTCGTAACCATCTATAGTTTCCCGTCGCCCTCCCTTCTCCAGTATACCGGCATTATTCACCTTCAATACAATCAGAAGTATTTATCTTTAAATCATAAAAAAAAAATCCAACCGAACGACCAAATAAAATCACATAATATTTCACCCTGTACAAATTGATGACATTAAGTTGCATAGAGTAAATAAAGTTTTCATACTCCCCTTTCCCAGCTTAAATATTATTTAACATCATAAGTTATTCCACATAAAATACAGATTTGAGCGGAAACTCTGGTGTTGGATACCCTTAATCCCATTCGCTCAATCTCGATATCCTCTGTGGACACTTATGATGTTCTGCTAAATCCTTTTTTTTAAATATCTCTGCTGGGTTCTGACAAATGAAAAGTTTACTCATTGATTGCTTGCCAAAAAAAATTCCTTCTTCTGATTGGCTGTTCGTTTTCTGCAAATGAAACACTGAATGGTTGAATTTTAGACACTTTCTTGGATATCAATTTAAGATTTAACTAGTCCCCAGATTAACAAAAAAGAGGAGATTTAGCATTGATCTCGATATCCATAAAATAAGAATTACCAGCTCTGAACAAAGAAAAAAAAGTTATCTTACCAACACATGAACAGAGCCATTCATGGATTTAATATCATCCGCAAATCTCCTGATTAATAAATAAGAGGTTTACAATTGAATAAATAATAATCTAATATATTGTAATCTTAACTTTTTAATCAACCGATGGAATTGATAACATAATTTGGTTGCTTAAAAATTTTTTTTCTCTCTAAATTAAGATCTGTAATTGAAGCACATCACGAAAGTGTGTTTTGAATCTTTATGAAAAAATAAGAACTGAATAGGGTCAATCCAGAACTTAATATCAGAAATGTGGAAAATTATTTCCTCTTTGAGGTTTGGATCATCAAAAACATAAAATTTTAAACCATGAAATAACGACGACGTCGGGCGTCGATAATCCCTTAAGCCTTTAATTAAACTACTTTACAGGAAAGTTAAGGAAATATACTTTACCGACCAATTGGTCGAGGGAACCTGTGGTTAGGTAAATTTTTATTTTCCTGAAAAAGTTGTCTTTTGAGATCTTACCTAACTGTCCCAGAGTTAACCTCCAACCTCCTTCTGTTGCAAAAATCATTGGTCGGTATAGTTGGTCTAAAGGCAGTAAAATCAATATCTCACCTAACAGACTTGAGCTTTGATATATCCAAGTGAAGAATCTGAACTCGAGTTTTATCATATTTAGCAAACTCCTTCTCAGCCTAGGGTTTACAACAGTATATGTATATTAAAAACAATCCAGAGCCCGCGATTTAAAAACTTCGGCTCGAGTCTTAATTCCTTAAACGCAGCTTTAAGACCCAATCTTAGACCCAACTCTGACGACAGCTTGNCCCCCCCCCATCCTATCAATTATGAACATGGATATCATATGTAACACGTGGAAATAATTGGTCATGTGGCCGCAGCGCCCGGCGCACCATAGCTTGTCCTAACCGCGGCGCTCTACTCTGTCATAGCCGCAGCGCTCGGCCCCATAGCCTGTCCTAGCTGCAGCGCTCGGCCCAGAAGTTGTCTTTACCTAACCTAACCCAAAAATAATAAAAAATAAATAATAATAATTTAGCTGAAGAATGAGTGATCATGTACAAAATTGAAAGGGGTGGGGGGGTCAAAAAATCGACGCCCTTCCCCCCCTTCTTATCAATTTTATACATGAACTTTAATTTTAAGTTGTTTTGTATTATTTTAGGGTTAGGTTAGGTTTAGACACTTTCTGGGCCGAGCGCTGCGGCTTGGACATGCTAGAGGGCCGAGCGCTGCGGCCACGTGTCTTACATTTAAGATCCATGTACAAAATTGATAGGAGGGGGGGGGGGAAGTCCATAAATCGTTCTCTAGGAAATTATCCTTACTTAAGATTTCGCAGGCAAGGTTAAAGATTCCAAGAAGATAAAAATAAACTCGAATTAGGAATGTTTTCATAACGCATTCTTTATTTCTGAAATAGTATACTTAGCACATTATCACCATTTAACTCACATTTATAAAGAATGCACATTAATGATAGATGTGGTAATGGGGGGGGGGGCGCAAAAATCGAAGTCTAGAAAATTTCCAATGCTGGTTCATTAGGGCTCTGGAAGATGACGAAATGATAAGAAATTGTTATGTTTTCAGCATTATGACAAATATTCGACTCTAAGGAGTATAGAAAATATCATTAGAATTGTACAAAAAACGCTATTATTGCTACTTTAAACAACTATAAACGATCTTTAATTAATAATAATTTACGAAATGAATTCATTTTTAGTTTTTGTTTGATTGTCGCAGGTGCGCAGACACATTTCTGAATGCCGCAATTTATTCAATAAATTTCTCAACTCTCAAATCTGGTCGTCTTTACTTAACATTTAAAATTAATTTTCTTACCAGACTTTTGTCTTGAAAAAACCAAATAAAAAAACTCTTTAAACAAAGAAAAAAGTTCTATGTCTTTAATTTTGCAATTTGTTTCTTACATCTTTTTTTAAAGACGTCGTTCACAGAATTTGTTTGTAATGTTCCGTTATTCGAAAAATCTACCTCTATCTTAAAGTCATTTCCTTTATCGTCTAACAGGCTCGAAATTTCATCCAAGTAACAGTTTGTCTTGAGTCTGTAGCAGTCTGGAAATAATGTGTTTATTTGAAATTTTTCTCATTTGATTAATTTTAATAGATATATATAAATATATATAACAATTTTCGGACAAGAGTTTTGCGGTGCTATTTCATTTGAACTACTGCCGTTTGAACTATTGTTCATTTTAACTACTGCACGTGGGACCACGTGAGTAGTTGAAATGAACAATAGTTCAAACGAGTAAATATATTGCTCATTTGAACTATTTTTTAGTTCATTAAACTATTTTCATTTGAACTATTAAAATATTATTGATGAAATAAACAAAAAATAGTTCAAATGAACATAAAAATAGTTCAAACGAAAAAAAAAATAGTTCAAATGGACAAAAAAAATAGTTCAAATGAGCAAAAAAATAGTTCAAATGAACCAAAAAATAGTTTAAATGGGCAAAAAATTGTTCAAATGAACCAAAAAATAGTTTAAATGAACAAAAAAATAGTTCAAATGGACAAAAAAATAGTTCAAATGAACAAAAAAATAGTTCAAATGAACAAAAAAATAGTTCAGATGAACATAAAAATAGTTTAAATGGACAAGAAAAATAGTTCAAATGAACAAAGAAATAGTTTAATGGACAAAAAAATAGTTCAAATGAACAAAAAAAATAGTTCAAATGAACATAAAAATAGTTCAAATGGACAAGAAAAATAGTTCAAATGAACAAAAAAATAGTTCAAATGAACATAAAAATAGTTCAAATGGACAAGAAAAATAGTTCAAATGAACAAAAAAATAGTTTAAATGGACAAAAAAATAGTTCAAATGAAAATTGTTGAAATTGAATGTCTGCTCTGGCCACAGCGCTCGGTCAAGAAATTGTCCTAACCTTCAAATAATGCACAATAAACGACCTATAGGGCCGCAGCGCCCACCCAAGAAACTGCCTTAACCTAACCTAACCCTCAAATAAAACACAATAAAAAATTTTTTGTTAAAAAGAGTTGAATTATTTAGGCAATGCACTAACTTAATAGGAGGGGGGGGAATGCTGGGGGGGTTCAAAAATCGTTCTCTAGGACAGACATAAAAATACTTAGAAAATAATAAGCAGCTTATTCCGGGGCATACAGGGAGGGGGGATGAGTCCTCTTACACCCCCCACCAGGAAATTATGAAAGAGGAAACTACATTTAAAAGTAAGACTAAGAGAACGATCTTTGGACACCCCCCCCCCTCCTATCAATTTTATACATGGATCTTATGTTAGACATGGATATAATTGACCATGTGGCCGCAGCGCTCGGACCCCTAACCTGTCCTAGCCACAGTGTCGGCCCAGAAAGTGTCTTTACTAACCTAACCCTAAATAATAATTAATAAATACTAATTTTAATTTTGTACATGGATCTTATATGTTGGACATGGATATGATTGACCATGTGGCCACTGCTCTCGGCCCCCTATAGCCTGTCCTAGCCGCAGCGCGCGGCCCAGAAAGTGTCTTAACTAACCTAACCTGTGGCCGCAACGCTCGGCCCCCTTATAGCCTGTCCTAGCCGCAGCGCTCGGCCCAGAATATTCTGTGTAATGTTTATCTAATTAATTGTCATGAATATAACTTTATGGAGATTATAAAAAAAAATTTAAAACTGAATTGGGGTAGAAAAATAGTTCAAATGAGCAAGAAATGCGTTGATTTAAACTACAGGATATGACGTCATGTCAGTAGTTCAAATGAACAATAGTTCAAACGAACAATAGTTCGCCGTACCATAGTTCAAACGGCAGTAGTTCAAATGCGGATCCACCGACTTTTGCTGCCTGTTTTTCTCAGTTTTTTACGAACAATTATTGGTAATTGTTTATTTATCTAATAACTTTTTTTAAATTCTAATTTTTCCAAAATTATTCCAGGGACAACGCCGGGCATTTCAGCTTTGGGATTTATTTCATTGATCAAAATTACAGAAAATTGTAAAATCCAGTTATTCAGAGAAAGCAAAAATTTTTCCAATAAATGGCTAATATATTTTTTAAGGCACGCAGGAAATTCAAATGTATCATGTAAAATATTTGCAATATTTTCCAAACCTAATTGTCTGTGATTAGGAATAACTGAAAGTATGCAAATAAAGTTTATAGCATCTGTGCAAAAAATGCTTAAAAATTTCTTTGCACAACTTCGAATGCTCTATAATGTGCTTTCCATTGCTTTTTCTAACAGCAATAATATTTAACATCCAATGACCTGAAATACAGGGTTACTCACAAAAATGACACTGCAGAGACGACTCAACAGAATTTATACAGACTTTTTATACACAGTTTTGGTTCACTGCAGCTGGAAACTTGTAATTCTTTGGTTGGCAAAACATTAAGCAGTATATTTTATGACTATTTTGAAAACATTTCCTTTTCTGACACTTTGCAAAATATGGACCCTGAAAGAAAATACATGTAGAACTATTCACCAACGTCATGTTTCGAGGGACACCCTGTATATGCCAAAGAAAACGAACCAAATTAATGCACTTTACTATATTTACTACACGAATCTAATCATTTCAGGGGAAATTAGTTCCAAAACCAACACTTGGCACATTACTAACACTTAGTGTTAGAAATGGCCCAAATCTTAAAGGTTATCTTTTCAAACGTATATCTTTAAATCCAAGCCGAGTTAAACAAAACTATATTCAAGCATTTACGCACTTACGTAACAAAACCAGATTTTTTGATAAGGTAAAATAAAAACAAAAAAGGAAACAAAAGTATTTTTCTTTTATAATTTAAAAATAATCGAGAAATTAAAATTTAATATTATTTTGTTATTTCAATACATAGACTTAACTAGAAATCCGGGAAATTGTTTATTTAGAATGCGGGAAATTAAATCAACTTTATTCTCATATTTAACAAATAAAGTAGGAAAATTAAGCTTTTAGAAATAATTTAGCAGTTAATCTAGTCTTCATCATCAGATAATTTTTACTTTCAGTGATTTATTTTGTAAGTATATATAAAAGCAAGTTTTGTTCTGAATTGAGGATTATACTCAAAACGGGGAAGTGGGGTTTGTCTCGAAAAAGAGACAATCTATATATAAATTTGGCTTGTCTGTTTTGGTGTTTGTCTGTTTGTTTGTATCCAATAAACGTCAAAACGGCTGAACCGATCGGGCCCAAATTTTTTGTGGGACATCTAGGGACCCCTGGGAAGGTTTATGAAAAATCAAAATTTCAAATATTTGTCTCTATCAAAATTCGATCGTCATTAAATTTTTAAAAATTTTGAAAATCCGCGAAATTTTTTGTAAAAATCCGCGAATTATTTTTGTTTTGTTTTACGATGTACACAAAGAGAACATGTTCACAACTAATTTAGAAGATGGGCGCGAAGCGCCCTCTAAGGCTAGAAAGAAGGGCGTGAAGCGCCTTGAATTTCTAGTGATTCAAATTCAGGATATTTTCGAAAATGTAAAACCTGAAATTGTCTTGAAACCTGTCAAGGGTTTCAATATAATAGAACTTCTTTTTTAATTTTGATCCAGGAAAAAAGTTTTAAATTGGGATTTGTTGTCCTCGTCATGGTTAATAAAATATTGGTTATAGTTTTGATTATCGACTTTTAGTTTCGAACTGAGATCCTAAAAACCCAATCCATCATCAATTTGTGCCCATTTCCAAAACTCAGTGTTAGAAATGGGCCAAGTGTTAGTTTTGAAACTAATGTCCCATGCATTTTAGGAGGTGGAGTGTTTCCTCTGAGAATGCCGGAGGTTCGTCCAACCAGGTTTTCAAGGATTTGAAATTTTAATTAGGAATCTATATTAATAGCTCAAGTGCACGGCAAGTGCAAGTGCAAGAAAATTTCGATTTTTGAAAAAAATTATGATTTTATAAAAATTCGAATTTTAAATAGAATATTTTTTTAAGGTTTCTCAGTGTACCCATGGAGTTTCTTTCAAAAATTCAGCCATTTCGGTTTATGGCCGTTCAGCCAGCCAAAGCTATAACATATAAATGAGCGCTAATACAGAGCGTCCCATATCATTAGATTATCTCCAAGCTTTAACACCAAAATACGCATGTACTGCTCAGAATAACTCGCATTTTCTGCATGCAAATTTTTTATATTACCCATTTACTATTTTTAAAAAGCATTTATTCTTTTTAAATTTTCTGATTAGTCCCGAAAATTGCAATTTTGTGTTAGAAACGATCTAATATGATGTGGGACACCCTGTATATCACACAGTAATCATAAGGTCGCAAGCTCTCACGCAAGAAATTCATGTGAATTTTGCCATGTTCTAATCTAAAAGAATATCTGTGGACTTCTAAAAAATATATGTATAGTGTAATGAACAAGTACACATAAGTGTGCGCTATGAAATCAAAAGTGATTTCAACGCCGATGCAGTCTTAAAAATGGATGCAACTGTCACAGAAATCTAAAACTTTGTGCACACCATGCATCGGATTGAAAAAATTGAATTCCTTAATTTAAGATATAAAATTTTATATTGGAAAGTCAAAACTTAAATATATAGAACATATTCACAACACTCCCAGCATTTTGCAGAACAAATACATAATTGTTTTTTAATAATTGTGAGAGAAATCATTGATGAAATATGCCCCTATAACATTTTTAAATACTAAAATAGGCCTAGTTGTGCTGTGATAATGATCTAAACAAATTACAATTTTTGAAAATTATTATTATTACCCTTTTATCTCTCAACAAGCCGAAAGATATTGACATTTTTCAATTTCTGAAAATTTTATCTGATTTCCTTTCACCCTTTCCAAGCCAAAAAATACTGATATTTTGCAATTTTTAATAATTGATCTGATTTTTTTCTGAAATTACAGGAATGAGGTTTATCTTTGCTCTGCTGTGGAAATTGGAACAAAGGGAAGGTTAGTTTTTTTTTAATATCAATATATTTGTGTAATTAAATATTTGTATTATAGATATTGGGTGAGAGGCTTTAAGCCGGTGGTTATACCAGGTATAACTTCACATGGAATACCCCACCCCCCATCTTCAATTTCTTTAATTTCATGCTTAATAATATTTTACGTAATTTCAAGTGTGCCTCCATTTATAGAGTTGCATGTTCACTATAGAGACCTGTATCTTCTCAACCTCGATATCAGATAAAGGTTTAAAGGACCAATATTCTGCACCAACATTAATCAAACACACCATCTCTATGCATTAAAAATTACTTGAAATTACGTCTACAGTCCCTTTAAACGCACACGGCATATTGAACTGTTTTTACTGCTTAAATTCTCATTATTTTAATTATTGAAAAAATATTAAAAGATAAATAAAAAAATAATATGTTAGAATTGTTCAGGAACCATGCATCATATGGCTGTAGTAGGATGCAGTAGGTCAGTATGTAATGTATAACGAACCCTAATTCCTGCTACACGTGGTAGGCGTTTATATTGACAAAATAAAGACGACTACATATTTAGAAAATTATCATAAATGCAGTAATGCACACCCATATATTGTAGATATACCCCAGTTACTCCTATTATAATGTATGGAACTGTATATTGCAGATATCCCCCAGTTACTCCTGCTATAATGTGTTGAACTATATATTGTAGATATCCCCCAGTAACTCCTGCAAATGTATGGAACTGTATATTGTAGATATCCCCCCAGTTACTCCTGCAAATGTATGGGACTGTATATTGTAGATATCCCCCAGTTACTCCTGCTATAATGTATGGAACTGTACATTGTAGATATCCCCCAGTTACTCCTGCAAATGTATGGAACTGTACATTGTAGATATTCCCCAGTTACTCCTGCAAATGTATGGAACTGTACATTGTAGATATACCCCAGTAACTCCTGCAAATGTATGGAACTGTACATTGTAGATATACCCCAGTTACTCCTGCAAATGTATGGAACTGTACATTGTAGATATACCCTAGTTACTCCTGCAAATGTATCAAAATGTATATTGTAGATATCCCCCAGTTACTCCTGCTAATGTATGGAACTGTGGCAGTAATGGAAACCCTGTTTTGGAACCCGGCTTCCCCGCACTCAATGTAAGAACCATTCTTAAAGAAAGTATTTATTATTGTTCAGAAAGGGTATGAATATGATTTTCATAAACGATACAATTGAATTCGTTTTTTGTCTTCTTATACCTTCTTCAAAAATCCATTAACAATAAATAGAATTTTATTAGACAGGACATTTCATTGAAAGGCATTTCATAGATTGGACATTTCATAGACAGGACATTTCATAGAAAGACATTTTATAGATAAGACATTTAAAAGATAGGACATTCCATAGACAGGACATTTCATACACAAAACATTTTATAGACAGAGAATATTTGTTATGAGATAAGGTAATTTTCAGGATAAGGTAATCAAGAAACCTGTGTATCTCGAGCTAATCTGCTCTGTCTATGGAATGTGCTATCCATGAGTTTCTTTTTCTATGAAATCCGCGAACCTTTTTTGTTAATGTTTAATACTGTACAAAGAGAAGATACTCACAAATAAAGCCATAATTTTAGAAGTTAAAATAGAAGACGGGCGCGAAGATTACTAAAAGTAAAGTGGGTGCGAAGAGACCTCAATCCTATATGTTACAAAATTCTTCACAGTATTTTTAATCAAAATAGAAAATCGGAGACGACAATCATTTTGCTGCTTATTGGAAATGTAATCTATGTATAATTTTAATGTTTAGACCACATGTTCTGCCGGAGACATGAAAAGCATGACCCTGTTCCTTTGGTCAAGAAATGGGGAAACCTACATACTACCAAAGGATGTTGGTAAGACTATACCTAGGCGAGTTCTCTTTTTTTTGAATCGTTCGTTCTGTTCCGTTCGTTTCGTGTAAGAACGACCATTCCCCAAGAACGACACGCAGCCCTTGAGCTGTGCGTGTTCCTACTTTTTTTTAATCGTTTGTTCCATTTTGTTCGTTCCCGTGTAAGAACGATGATTCCCCAGAAAAGACATGTGTTCCAACTTTATTGAAATCGATCGTTCCGTTTCGTTCTTTACCTTGAAAGAACGATGGTTCCTGGAGAACAACGCCCAACCCTACGTAAGACAATCAATACTTTACAGGTAGACTGTAGATTTACAGCGATTATTGTCATACAGTGAACTTTAAAAAGCAATCTTCAGTATACTGATTATTTGATGTTGTTATAGAGCAAATTATTGTATGCAGTCTTAGTTGAATGTATTACAGTGAAGACGACTTTCGATTTCAATTTTGATTTATATCAAGCTTTAAACAGCATGGATACTGGATAGTGGATACACATAAACATGAAAAAAGAGAATCTGCCCCCCCCCCTTTTTATTTATTTATTTTTTATGTGTTTTATTCAGGGTTCGCAATTGGAGGTGATTCCCCAGTTCAGCATTTAGTTCTTCAAGTTCATTATATTAATGTTCAACATCTTCCTGAACATGGAGATATTTCAGGGGTAGATATACTCTACACAGATACAGGTTAATCTTTAATCTATATATTCTAGATATTTCAGGGGTAGATATTCTCTACACAGATACAGGTTGATCTATAATCTATATATTCTAGATATTTCAGGGGTAGATATACTCTACACAGATACAGGTTAATCTACAATCTATATATTCTAGATATTTCAGGGGTAGATATACTCTACACAGATACAGGTTAATCTACAATCTATATATTCTAGATATTTGAGGAATAATATACTCTACACAGATACAGGTTAATCTTTATAAATTCTAGATATTATATGGGTCGATATTAGGGTTTCCAGCGAAAAAGGAAAATTTGTTTTGCAAAATAGGAAGTGCACAAATTTTGCGAAAAAGTACGCGCAAACATAATCAATGCGAAAAAAAACGGAAATGATGCTAAATAAACACAATAGTTTCGCGAAAAAAAATACAGTTCATTTAAAAGATTCTTTCTTGTAATTGCCTAACTCATGGCTAGGGCTAGCTGGTTTTTGGGTGAACATGTGGACTATATACTCTACAGATACAGATTAATCTATAAATATTCTAGATATTTCAGGGGTAGATAAACTCTACACAGATACAGATTAATCTATAAATATGCTAGATATTTTAGGGGTAGATAAACTTTACACAGATACAGATTAATCTATAAATATTCTAGATATTTCAGGGGTAGATAAACTCTACACAGATAAAGATTAATCTATAAATATGCTAGATATTTTAGGGGTAGATAAACTTTACACAGATACAGATTAATCTATAAATATTCTAGATATTTCAGGGGTAGATAAACTCTACACAGATACAGATTAATCTATAAATATTCTAGATATTTAAGGGGTACTTATAATCTACACAGATACACATGGTAATCTATATATATATATATTCTTATTTCACGAGTATAATAATTCTTATATTTGGTATTGCATTCAAGCATAAATATGTTTTGTTCATAAGAACCAAAATGCGTACAGAATTAGACAGTTTTCATGTTACTCAAATTTCTAAATTTTAGAACCTCTAAGAACTGCTGGTATGATGTCGGTACATGTGAACACAAATGTTCCATCTTTTTCAAAGGTAAATTTTTCTATTTGGTTATTTAACTAGCAACTGCCATTTTTAATTATTTCCAACTACTTGACAGGGAAGTTAAGGGTTTCCAAGACCAATTTTGCTGACACTTTAGATGTTTTGTAGGCGAAATTGGTCTAAAGTATTCGTGGGGAAGAAAATTTTTTAATTCCTAGAATTTGTATCGTATTTTGAGATGAAAATGCGCCATTTTTTCAAAACAACTTTGCAAAGCGGGATGTCTTTGCTTGATGGTTCAAAAGGACAGTTAAGCAACTTATTCTTAGCAATCCGCTGTTGGGGTAAACATGGATTGGTAATGTTGATGAAAGGCGATTTTTAGTCTTGATTTTGAAGCGTTTTGGGTTGAATTTATTTTTTAAAGATTTTTATTTTCATTTTTGTTATTTTTGTGTAGACATATCAGGACGGAGGGTGTAGGATTGGAGAGAATAAGATACTGCATCCCTTTTCTTATTTGGTTCATACACATGCTTTAGGACAGGTAAACTCCCCACTTTCCCCCCTCCCCTCTATCCTCTCCCATACCTTCCCCGGTAACCGCCAATAAAATTCGTTGAAAAGTTTTTACATAGGGTTCATGGATGATCTAAATTTCAAAAATTTGCTCCAATCCAACCAAATTCGATTTGCATTAAAATTTGAAAATCCACGATTTTTTTTTTAAATCCCGGAAACTTTTTTGTTTGTTTTGTTTGACAATGTATACATGAAGAGAAAATGTTCACAATTTAAATAGAAGTTGGGCGCAAAGTGCCCTTAAAGCCTAGTTTGCCTCAAATTTTAATTTGCGGACTCGGTAGATAAGGAATGTTCTCACTTCTCAGTCTAGTATAGTTGGGTTGACTTTTATTGAAAAAACTCTCTGAAAAGCTTTTTAAACTATTTGTGTAACTATGACTCAACCATCTATAACTTATCATGTTTACATACAGTTCACAGGGTATAGAATGCTTCCTTCAAGTATGGTCTTAGCCAAGGTACTAATGCAAGGAAAGTTATTTCAGAGGTGTACACATCTTTTGTACTGCAGTTTACTGTCTCTGGAAACTATTATATGAATTATCAAAATTATCAAAAATTAATGCTTTTAACCTCCTCGAATACTTATACATCTATTCTTGTTTACATATTACTCCCAGAGAGAAGTGGTTTCAATATGTACGCAGAGTATACGCAACTGCAATTAACTTTCCTTGCATTATAATCTGACTTTAGCCTTCTTTTAAAGGAAGGAAATGTGCAGTTCTACGGAAGTATGGTCATTTGACAGTACATCATGCAAACATTGTAAACATACGCTGAACTTTCTTATAGTGAAAAAAAATTATTCTGCAAGGAAGTTAAACTGCCTTTTTAAATAGAAATAATTATGAGGGGAAGTCCGGTTTTGCCCGGTGGAAAAACAGTTTTCATCAAAGAAGATAAAATATTTCCAGGTTCTTTTTCATGTTTTTTTAGGTGGTTTCAGTTTGGAGAGTACGACGTGGTGGGTTAGTCAGGGGCAAAGATGATTGGACATTGATTGGTAGAATTATTATTATTTGGGGCCGGCTACAAGATTTTTCAATTCAGTATTTACAGTGATCCTCCATGCAAAGATGACCATGTCCGATTCACAACGGTATCTTTGAAACAGTTATCTGAACAGTTATGTGCAGAAGCTAAAAAGTATTCAAGATGTTGTCTTTTTCTAATTTAAAAATGTGTTCACTACTTATCATAAACATATCTAATTCATACTTGACTAGACAAAGCTTTCAAGGGCCCCGTTGTCACATTGCCATCTTTGCATGGAGGGAAATTACGCTTACCTTTGATATCTAGATTGGCAACATTTGAGCTCCCATAGGATCATGGCACAAATGTGCAGATCCAATGATCCAAGAACAAGCGGCAAAATATCAACCAAAACAGTGATAAAAACCTTTTGCTCTTAAATCATACGTTTGTAAGTGTTTATTGAATTAATTCAAGTTTTTGAAGAAAAAATAGAAAAATAGAAAAACTTTGGAAATGTGTTTTTGGTAAAATAAAGTTGGAAGATTCAAAGAAATATTTATATATAAGCTTCATCAAGCAGAGACCGAATTTGATAAATTTGAGCTAGGTCGCTGAAAGACCAGTTCAAATCTTGATTCAACGATCCAAAGTAAAAGATTATGAGGAATGAATCGTTTAGTCAAAATTTGAACCGACTGTTGGTTACAGTTCAGCAACCTCTCATCATGTTTACAGGCTAGATCCAGGAAAATGAACTGTTTGTTTTAGGGAAGAAATCTCCTCTCAAGCCTCAATCATTTTACCCTGTAGAAGACAAAGGTAAATATAATAGGGGTTCTTCAGCACCCCCCCCCCCCCGTATATACAGTGAATACATCGAAAGAATTTATCAAATGTCGTATTCTTCACTTTCTGATAATGGAATGTTGCAGATATTTAGTTTTTTTTTTAATTAAATGAGTATAGGGAACTCTTTAAAACTGTTTCCGCATATTCATGGCTATTTATTTATTTTCGCAAATGCTGAAATTTGCGTAATATAGTAGTATAAAACTCATTGAAAAATTGTCAAGACCACATTTGATAAATTCTTCCTATGTATTCGTTATTAAGGGTTTCAACGATGCCGAACTCCAAAACTATTAAATAACAGACTAATCTCAAGTTTAATCGCTCTGAATCTATCCTCTACATGGATAATAATTATCTCCACAACCATTCATTATACTCGAAGTCTGCATTTATAACTGATTATGGAGGACGTAGCGTCGGTCTCCAAATAACGCAAGGAGTCTTTAGGAAGGATATATTTATCCAAATGTGTCTCCTCATGTTCCCCCCCCCCCTTACCGCCTTTACTTGTGGGGAACAGAGTCAGTTAGCTTTAGAACGTCGAGATGTGAACACCTCCGATCCTAGGAACTACTAACTCCTTCATACCGCCGCCGATGTCTACTCTATCAACAAATGCTGCTAATGTCTAAGCCGACCTCCAAGGCAGCCGCATGTCCCGGGGTTGAGAGGCAATTCAAGTTCCTCCCTACACATGTTACAGACTGCAAATCCTCCAGGACTGTCGCCTAGATGTGAACCCTTTGCTGCCAAGATGCTGACACCTGTGAGCTGACCATCATGAAGCTCCAACTGTTCCATTCCTTTCAACACTATTAATCAATGTTATTTCATTTTCAACCGTTTAGATACTCCCAATAAGGGCCAATATTTTTAAACTTTGCTTTTATTTCTCATTTCATGCTATTATTCAATAAAGTTACCGAATATCCCTGTTGTTCTTTTATTTGTGTCAACATTTAAAAATAACTGAAATTTGGGGGTTACATCTAAATTGGTTGAATTTGTTATTTCTGTTAGATTAAAAATCCTCTTTTAATCCAACCCCTCCCAGGGGCCAATGTTAACAAATTAAATAAAACACGAAGACGATTACTACTGTGTAGCGAAGTTGACCGCGGAAGATTCTCAATACTATAATACTATATCCGATCCAAATGTGTCTCCTCATGTTCCCCCCCCCCTTACCGCCTCTACTTGTGGGGAACAGAGTCAGTTAGCTTTAGAACGTCGAGATGTGAACACCTCCGATCCTAGGAACTACTAACTCCTTCATACCGCCGCCGATGTCTACTCTATCAACAAATGCTGCTAATGTCTAAGCCGACCTCCAAGGCAGTCGCATGTCCCGGGGTTGAGAGGCAATTCAAGTTCCTCCCTACACATGTTACAGACTGCAAACCCTCCAGGACTGTCGCCTAGATGTGAACCCTTTGCTGCCAAGATGCTGACACCTGTGAGCTGACCATCATGAAGCTCCAACTGTTCCATTCCTTTCAACACTATTAATCAATGTTATTTCATTTTCAACCGTTTAGATACTCCCAATTAAGGGCCAATATTTTTAAACTTTGCTTTTATTTCTCATTTCATGCAATTATTCAATAAAGTTACCGAATATCCCTTTTGTTCTTTTATTTGTGTCAACAGATATATTTCAGTCTAATGATAGAGGTAGTATATTACAGACTGACCGCAACTCAAATAAAGATAAAATGTGATAAATAGACAACAGGTTACAAAGGTGATTAGGACGATAAAGATATATTTATTATACATATCAAGATTAGCTTTAAAGAACTATAGACTTTTTGTAACAATTTCAGTGTTTGAATTTTCAGCAACAAAGACAGGATATCACATTCATGTTTGACAAAAAAGTATAACGGGCACCGTTGTAAATTGAACATACAAATCTACAATTGAAGGTTCACCCAAAGTTACGTACACAGTCCTCTTAATTAGGGAAATACCGCAACAGTTCGAGGCTTAACAATAATCTATGCTTACTCAAATATTGAAGACATATCGATTACAGCTGTCTCAGCATGGAAACCTTGAACATTCTTCAATAATTGAATATGTTGAATAATGCTGAATAATGTTAACACAATGTTTAGATTTGCAGCTACAGCCTGATGATAACATTGCTATAAGGCGTGATATTGTTAGATCATTAAAATTACAAAACATAAAAAGTAAAAACTTTAAGAAAAAGAAAATCTTTAAAAGATTTGAAGAAAAAGTAATTTAAAATTTTTAATTTGACATTTACAGTTGTCGTCGTATAAACCAATACAATGATTTCAATTTTTGATTTTTACCAAGGTTTCAAAAAGCATGGGTAAATTTAAATATAGAAACAAAGAGAAATTCCAAATAGATTGTCAAGTACAATAGGTGGCAACAGAGAAATTAACCAATTATACACAACGTCACAAGTGTCAAATACAACAAGGAAAATGAAATTGTCTCACATTAGTTGACATGTTTTCCAAGATTAAATAAAAAAGTGTACAAACAGAAACTAAAGAACACATAAAAGTACACTAATTTTACTGTAAATAAAGCACTTGATTCTAAAATTATTACTATTATTGTTTATTTTACTAAGAGTGTACAAATTCTACGTTGCTATCTATTGTACTAGAATCTATTTTAGAAATTCTCATGTTGCAGGTTCTCTTAGTCTACTTGAAGCTTGAATAGAAATCAAAACTTGAATAGAAAAGTCGTCTTCATTTTATTGAAACACTGAATATTGCAATCACAATTAATCAACATACAATTCCTGCAGATGTACAATGCTAAATTTAAAAAGAAAAGATGTGAAACAGGTCTGTTTTGGTATTTGGAATTATTTAAGAGAAAAAAAAGAAAAAAAAATTAATCGAATTTTTTTCATGTTTATTCTGTGCACTGTACAGTGTACATTATAGGATTTAACTACTTCTAAAAGAATCTATGTAAGAAAGTCACAGGAAAAAGAGTCCTTTGTAAGATTTATGATGTGTAGTGTGTACTGTACACAACTTACTGTATGTTTAGGTTTGCTAGGCATGATGAGATGTGTGCTGTTTACGTAATATACAGTCTACTGTACACTTTAATTTACTGCATGTTTAGGGGTTAGCTATAGCTATGATAATATTTGCGATGTGTACATGTACAATGTACTGTATTATTAGGGGTTAGCTATAGCTATGATAATATTTGCGATGTGTACTGTACTTGTACAATGTACTGTATTATTAGGGGTTAGCTATCTATGATGAAATGTGTGACGTGTACATAATGTACAATGTACTGTATGTTTAGGGGTTAGCTAGCTATGATGAGATGTGTAACGTGTACATAATGTACATAATGTATTATTAGGGGTTAGCTATCTATAATGAGATGTGTGACGTGTACATAATGTACAATGTACTGTACACTTTCATGTACTGTATGTTTGGGGTTAGTTAGCTATGATGAGATGTGTGACGTGTACATAATGTACAATGTACTGTAAACTTGAATTACTGTATGTTTGGGGTTAGCTAGCTATGATGAGATGTGTGACGTGTAAATAATGTACAATGTACTGTATGTTTAGGGGTTAGCTAGCTATGATGAGACGTGTAACGTGTACATAATGTACAATGTACTGTATGCTTAGGGGTTAGCTAGCTATGATGAGATGTGTGACGTGTACATAATGTATTGGGTTTATGGAAATCACTCAAACCTTCTTCAGGTTAGACTTTTAACTATCTTAAAGGGACTAGCTGTAAGCGTAATTTCAAGTGTGTTTCCATCTAAAGATGGAAATGTAATATTCACAACCCTGTAAACCTTTGAATGATCAAGGATGTCAGTACATACATTTTAAATTGTTGAGGCATTTAAGAAATTAACTTTGATTTTAAAATATGTTTCTGCAATTTCTTCTTCAATTTACTTTTTCAAGTATGATTCTTAAAACTAACATCACAAAATTCCTTATTCCTGGAAATTCCAAAATGTGGTCTGTGTGCCTTTTATTTTAAAGATTTTAGATAAAGTCAAAACGTCAAAACGGCTGAACTGATCGAGCCGAAATCATACATGATCCCAGGGAAGGTTTATGGAGGCTCAGAATTACAAAAAGTTGTCTCCATAAATATTTGATTTTCGAAAAATCTTTAAATGAACGAAAACAAAATTTCAAATCTGAAAAAAAAAAAATTGTCATTAAAGATAAATTCCCAAAAGATTGAGCGACAACTAAGAGTTTAAATAGAAGATCGGCGTGAAGCTCCCTAGCCTAGTATTTTATAATTTAGATTTAAAATTTTTCATTTTTATAGGGAGAAGTTGCATGCCACGCAGACGGTCCCCCAGCGGTAACCTGGCGGTCATTTGGTTTCAATAATATACCTGACCTTGAGGCCTCTTCTTTAGATGTTGATAATTAGATAAATCATATATGTATATTGTATAGACATGTATTTATCTATTTAAGAAAGCTATTCGTTCATGAATATATATATTTCAGTTTTTAAACTTTTATTCAAAACTGAATTATATTAACAAAATTTTTCACGATTCACGATGATCCTCAGTAATAAAAATATATTTATAAGTTAGCTATAACTGGCCAAACGGCGGGACCAACTTGGCTGAATAAGGGTGGTTACATGGAATAAAATATATTTGGAAATTTTGTAATTTTCACGGAGGGGCTCTTCAGCTATAAGTGTGATTTAATACCAAGTGCGGGTAAACGGTGAAAGTAACTATGAATAATAATATAAGCCTGGGCAACGCCCAGTGCTCCATGACTAGTTATATATTCACAGTTTCATTATGTATTATGTATTATGTTAAAAATATATAAAAATGGATTTTAACGACAAGAAAATGTATGTTTATTTTATTTCACATGAAAAAGATAGAAAGCGCAAAAAATAAAAATAATAAAAGCTTGTCTAAAGTCTCGGTTTACCACAGACAAACAATCTAGAAAATGGCACACATTTGTCCACACTTCCAATATTTGAATTTGGAAGAAAAAAGGGTTGAAAGTTGAAAGTAAATGTAATTTCAAGTGAACTCTACACAGAGACCACAATTAAAACAGTAACTTGTAGAGAGACGAATAAAAATATATTATTCATCATTTTTAAAGGTTTTAAGAGTGTCGTTGGAAATCGGGCATGCTCCTCTTTTCAATAATAAGTCCCGTTAAATCATAAATACAGTTCCTTTGAAGCTAAAAAATACCGTTATAAAGATGAAAGAAATCTGGTTTATATCATGACTTCAATAATTTTCATTATTTCAAGTTTTCATTTCCGTTTTCTATATATATTTAACTAAACAGAGTTGTGAACCCCCCCCCCCTAATCTCCCAAACAGCCCATTCACGTTAAGCCCTCCCCCCTATTCTTGCTCTTAGTGTATTTCTGACCCATGCCACGCCCTTTTGACCCCTCCCCCCCCCCCCTCCTTCTCCAGCTTAACCCTCCACCCCGGGCCATCAAAACTTTCCTCAGCCCGCCCCTGAGAGTCCGGATGTAGGGTGTTTCCCATGAAGCTGATACGATTTTATCCGAATTAGCAATTCTTGAATATCATCTCAGTTTTTTTGAGTGGGTACAAAATACCCAATAACAGAACGGCCCCGAACAAAACGCCCTATGCAAAAAAAACGCCAATGCATCAAAACGCCCAATGTTGAAGAAAAAAAATTCAATATTTTGGGAGTTAAAAGTTGTGTGCATTTTTTCAGAGTTAGGTTAGGTTAAGACAGTTTCTCCAGTGTTCAGCAATTGCTGTAGACAAGAAAAAATATTTTTAGAATTACCAAATCGAAGTGAAGATATTTATTCTCACAACTTTTGAAGATGTAACTTGAACACTGAAGGCGCTATAACGGCGCCAAGTTCTCTTTGAAATGAAAATGAAATGTATTTGAACTTCTAGCCGCAGCACGAGACTCCAGAAAACTGACTTTGAGGAACTTCAACAGAAAATATGCGAATTATCTTGAAAAAAAATCGATTATTACTGTTTTTTTCACATAACATGTGGAATTTTTGTAATATTGGACGTTTAGTGCATTGGGCGTTTTGTTCCATTCGGCGTTTTGTAATTGGTCGTTTTGTTTTGTGTGTTTTTTACCCACTCCGTTTTTTTTCTTCTAAGATTTACCAAATAAATCCGTGAATCAGTATGTCAGCAAATTTTTACTTTATGTTATAAGTTATTATTTTACTTTCCATACTAAACTCTACGTTATCAATTGAATGAAGAATCAACTTGACATCGCTTGCCCATTCACCCTGAGCTGAAAACTTTGGATATCGAGATTAATGCTTGATCCTTTCTTTTTCTTAATATTGAGGCTAACCTAATCTTGTTTGTATCCTAAAAAGTGTATAAAATTCAACCAATCAGAGTTGCGTATACGAAGCCGATAAATTTGAAATTTTGCGCGCCATTTAAGATTTATATACAGAAACTCTCTAAAAAACCGGTTTTTGATTTTTCTCTACTATATCCAAGAAAGAACGGTTTAAGAAGAAAACCAAAGTGTGTCCATTGGATACAAAGATTGGGTAATTGGGATTAAGGATATCTCATTCAAAAGTTTTCAGCTCTGGACTAACCAGAACGAGATTCGTTCGGTTTCTTTTACATAAATTTACTCGTATTTATGACCAATTCAACCATCTTTAAACTTACTGAGTTTCATTTTTAAACTGTTTCATTTTAAATGCAATAGGGTTTATGTATAAAAGAGAAAAACCGAAAAGTTAAATTTTAATGGTTCAATCAACTTGGCATCAACAGCTCACAACTTGCTAACACAAGGACTAAACTCTTAAAGTAGCGTGAGTCATAGCATCAGAATTAGATAAATAAATAAACTATTTATCTATGGCAACAGAGCTTGGCCTAAATTCTAATAATCCAGTGTCCGAATTTAATGAATTTAAGCCGCGTCTCAAATCCCCCAAAAACCGGTTTCAACTGAGCGCCGGCCTAAATCTTGAAAAAGTTAATACAAATTTAAATGGAACCACCAAAATTTGAGTAGCGGCTTATATTTAAACCACTGCTCAATTTCTTCAAATTCGGCCTCAGATTTGCCAAAATATTGTCTCCAAGATTGAAATTTTGTATTTTCTTTATTTTAAATTTCCAAAACAACCTGTCGTAAAATATAATTAATCTTTGTGTTGTTACTCTATTTATAAACATAAATATGATATTTTAATAGAATATCTCAATGCAAATTTATCTTATAGTCATCAAATTTCTTTCAAACACCACCTAGTAACAATAACCCCTCCCCTTTGCACCCCCCCCCCCTCCTTAAAAGCTACAGATATGGTTTGTAATTAAGTGTTCATGGATTCAATAGCCCTTTTACAGCTTTACAGTTCCACTTTACAGTTACGCTTTACAGTTACGCTTTACAGTTACACTTTACAGTTACGCTTTACAGTTACGCTTTACAGTTCCACTTTACAGTTACGCTTTACAGTTACGCTTTACAGTTACACTTTACAGTTACGCTTTACAGTTACGCTTTACAGTTACACTTTACAGTTACACTTTAAAGTTACACTTTACAGTTACACTTTACAGTTACACTTTACGGTTACACTTTACAGTTACACTTTACAGTTCCACTTTACAGTTACGCTTTATAGTTCCACTTTACAGTTACACTTTACAGTTACGCTGTACAGTTATACTTTACAGTTACACTTTACAGTTACACTTTACAGTTACGCTTTACAGTTCCACTTTACAGTTCCACTTTACAGTTCCGCTTTACAGTTCCACTTTACAGTTCCACTTTACAGTTACGCTTTACAGTTCCACTTTACAGTTCCACTTTACAGTTCCACTTTACACTTCCACTTTACAGTTACGCTTTACAGTTACACTTTACAGTTACGCTTTACAGTTTCACTTTACAGTTCCACTTTACAGTTACGCTGTACAGTTACATTTTACAGTTACACTTTACAGTTACACTTTACAGTTACGCTTTACAATTCCACTTTACAGTTACACTTTACAGTTACGCTTTACAGTTCCACTTTACAGTTACAATTTACAGTTCCACTTTACAGTTCCACTTTACAGTTCCACTTTACAGTTACGCTTTACAGTTTCACTTTACAGTTACACTTTACAGTTACGCTTTACAGTTACGCTTTACAGTTCCACTTTACAGTTCCACTTTACAGTTACACTTTACAACGCTTTACAGTTCCACTTTACAGTTACACTTTACAGTTACGCTTTACAGTTACGCTTTACAGTTACACCTGACAGTTACACTTTACAGTTACGCTTTACAGTTCCACTTTACAGTTACGCTTTACAGATACGCTTTACAGTTACGCTTTACAGTTACGCTTTACAGTTACGCTTTACAGTTACACCTTACAGTTAAACTTCACAGTTACACTTTACAGTTACGCTTTACAGTTACACTTTACAGTTAAACTTTACAGTCGACCCATTTAAATGGAATTGTTGTGAAATATAGACAAACTTTAGTACAAAGGTCTTTTCGAGTTACGTTGACCATTCCTTTGAGCCATAGTTTTTCTTCATACTCATGGACAACTGACACATACACCCCCCCCCCTCTCACCATACCTACCCACTATAGAACAAATATAGTGTTCTCACTATTTCCCATATGTAAAGCTAAGTGACCCAGAACACTCCCCTCCCCCTCCTCCCCCCTGCTCAGTGTCAAGATTACCTTTATCTAATAATAAACATTTTAGACCACATGGAAGACAATTAGTTGAGTTATTATCATTTTACAAATTCTCAAAAATACATTTTTAAAAAGAATGAGATTTCAGAGACGACTTTCCCTTTTTTATTCTCAATTAACAATTTTATATTGGCTGCAGTTTTATATTTTCAGCTACCACTGTCCCCTGTAGAGATTGAAATTGGAGATTTGTCTTCATATATTTTTTATTACTCAAATGGTAAAAATTACTTGGTCTTTAATTAAAAAGAGTTGAAGTTACAATGAGAACCACACAACTCTGGAATAGGAAGACGACTTGAAGACAAGTTATGACTTTAAATAGTTAAATGAACACGATACACAGTACACTGCACTTGTATATAGTGTAAATAGACCCTTTTTACATATTTATTTAATTATTGCTTTAATGTCGTCTTCTTATTCTACAGTGTTCTGGTTTCTTACTGGTTTCTCACTCATCTTAAAGCAATATTCTTAGTTATACTAAATCCCTCCCCATTTCTGTTTTTTATTCCATCCCCCATTATACGGAAAAAAAATAAATTAAAGTAAAAGATTGAATTAAAATATTAAAAAAGATTTTATCCATTACTTTTTTTCCTTTTAAACGTAGTGACTTACTTGTGAATTGTTCACAATCAGTTTCAAATTGTCCCAATCTGAAGTTGTGTTTAAAAACTTTATTCAATCAATTAAAAAAGCCATTTCAAACTTATATCACCTTTAAACTTTTAAAAACTACAAAGAAATTTCCTTTCCTTTCCTTAATTCTCTTCAATAGGAATCATATAAAAAAGCCTCCTTGCCTTGTATTAAAGTTATTATTATAGACCAACTATCTGAAGTGCCCAGCGTTGACTGCGAAATTTTCAAAAAGACTTTGAAAAAACTTCCAATTTGGGAGAAAAAAATTCTAATTATATATCCTATGCAACCCCAGGGTGCCTGGTGTGACGTGAGAATCCGCCCGGCCTGAAACAACAAATTCTATTCATCAAAATGTTTTTATAGATTCTTTTAAATATTGCGAATTACATTACAACAAATTTATATGTGCCAGTGATTTAAGTTGAAATATCTATGTTTTTTCAATTCT